TGTTGCCCTTTGATGGAGGGGTGGTTTGGGTTTTTTTTGGTTTGTTTTTTTTTTTGAGTTTGGTGTCTGCCATAGCCACTCACTTAAAATCAGTTGTACTTCTGACTTCCAGCAGTTGCTCTTTCAGATTGAGACAAAATACGCCATGTTTTACAGTCATTAATAGACTAGATTTTTTCTCAGGGAACCATAAGAAAGATGAGATGTACTAAAGACCTCATACTATGGCAAAATTAAAAAAAAAAAAAAAAAAAAAAAAAAAAAAGAAAAAGGTTGCTCAGGCCGTAGCAGAGGGACTTAGGGCACAGTGAATGAGCTCTGGACCACAAGTCCAAAATCTGCTTGCCCAGTGATTCACAGGCACAGATTAATCTCTATGACTGAAGGAAGCATCTCCCGGAATGCTAACGTAAAGCATGCATCTGTTTTCCTTGAGCAATCTTGACAGTAGGAGAATCACAATCATCTAACCTGTTCTTATGGGTAGTCAAAAACTCTGACACTGGGAACAAGCCAAAAGTAAATCACTAACAGCATCACTTAATAAAGATTTTACATCAGGTCTAAAATAAACACCACAGTGCCTACTTCAGAATCAATGTCACTTTTTGCTTACAGCACCCAATTCTCTCTCCCTTTCCTTCCCTGAGGGTAAGGAAGTCTGTTTCAAACTGTAGAACCCACCTACAGTTAAAACTGAGATGGAAGTTTAAAAACACCAGAACTAATTCATATGGTGTGTTGGTTGCCAGACAAGAAGCAACACAGGAAACGGCTACTCTGCTGTCTGAATGCAATTTAGCATTGGAGAATAGCAGTGTCAACCACAAAGTTCTCAAAAGAAATAACCAATGTTTACTGAACTGATATAATGTGATTGCTGTGTGTGAATACATTTCAAAGAAGAATCTAGGGACGTTGGCCAGCTAGAGTCTTTGAGATGATCCCAATAAAATCAGCAGGACCTGTCTCTACTTGCAGTAGATTTGAAGTTGGCCCTGTATCTTGAAATCTAGAATAAGAAGTTGTGCTTAAAAGCAAGGATGCGCTTCCTCTGAACAGCCACAAGTTGAATTAGTGGTCCCAAACCTTTTAAACGGTCATTCTTTTCACACCCAGCCTCATGATCAAATTCTTGTGAAAATCACTATGAAAAGATAATTCTGTAAACCAAAGAGCCTCCTTATGAGTGCCTTGGGAATCAGAACATTAATTATAAACAGCTGTAGACAGCTGGGCAGTTTAATATATACATATTTTTTTTCATGGTAATATTTTCAAGAAAGATCCTTAATCTTCCTTATGTGCAGTATGCTTACCTATTCAGCGCCCGCAGAAGGAGGAATGCCAGTGATGTACTACAGCATGGACTTAGGTTTGTTAGCAAGGCCCCCAAGTCCCCAGGGGTATGTTGAGGGGTTGGTGGGGGCAAGGGAGGAAAACGGAATGTTGACACACATCCTGTAGACGGCGCCTGTTCAGACGCCTATGCAGTTCTGGGTTTACAGGTTCTGTTCTGTTTGTCTGTGCCCTTCCATCGTATTCCCGAGGGGAATGAAGATGCAAACTTAACATAATTTTTTACCAGCCTACACAACATCCATTTCCCTCCTTGCTGAAATTAAAAATGTGATTTAATTTCTTCAGATATTTTTTGAAGACTAATAAAAGTTCTCTCACAAAGTAATAACTCCTTGTTTGTGGATCTGCAGTAACTTCCTATACTCGCAACACTTGTATCTTTGTCTCTATAACTCTCCCTTCCATGACTTCGGTAAAGGTACGAGCAGGTAATGCTCCTAATGGAGCTGCTTTTCCCTCATGCCAGCGTTTCAGCCAGCAACTGCGAAGTGTAAACAACGACGTACAAACTTTCCATGTATCTCTTCATGTCTGGGTTAGAGTCCCTTGGCCAGTGCTGTGTAATGGCATTTTGCCTGCTGTTAATGAACTATAAACCATGCTATCACCCTTATAATGCCCATAAGTAACCACTTCTACAACATAGTATCAATATGTATCTATAAATCCACAGGCAGAGACTGCTCTTAAAATGCGCAGCTGCATTCCTCAACAGGCTACACAGGTTTAGGGATTGACATACCTAGTTCTCCCCTGAAGAATGCCTCTACCTGGACACTCAAATATTTATTTTCATGTCAGGTGATATTATTAACTTGAAGTGCTTCCACAGTGCAGAAAAATTTACCTGTTGATATTTCTATCTTTGAGGTGTTAACAACTATTAGTTTTCCTATTACTCTTTTTAACCCATTGTACTGTAAATACTGTACATATTTTTCATCAAACATTTCAATTCATATAAAAATATTCTGTTGAGATGAGAAAGCACTGTCCTTTTCCCACTCCCCAAAACAGAAGGGTTTCAGAAAAAAGAAAACGGCTGGCTATTTGTATCCCTACTTTTCCCCTTCCCTCTCTTTCCTGAATACAGAATATGCTTAAGTGCAAGTATCATATCATTTGCTGGGAAACTAGCTGCTGCTACATCAGAAATCGGACTTCTGCACAGTGGTGATTCATGTGGCAGTTGTGAATATATACAAAAGATTGTCTAAGCATGGACTAACAGCTAGACGGAGCTGTGTGGTATGCTAACTTCACAGCAGCAGATTGATTAGATCCATTTTGAAGCTTTTCTGCCTTCATCTACTAGGCTATAGCTATAGTGATTTTTCCCCTAAGCCCAGTGTTTCAAACTATATCCATCTACAGTTATCACTGTCATTCCAAATAACCAATAAAAAATGAATAATTTCACGATAAAGTAGCATTTTACAACATGAGGTCTAAGAAGGGTCTGCATTTATACTGCCTGGTGTAGACTGATGACACAATGAAAGGCAGGGGCTCCTTACAAAAGTTAATTGGATTAATTAATTTACAATTAACTTGTTTCAGACAAACAATTTGTACAACATAAAAGCCAAGTTGCAACATAAAATCAAAACAAAGTGAAAGTAAGTTCAGATATCACTAAGCAGCAACTTAATTAGACGAGATGTGCAAGCTAAGCTTTCCAGGACATTTTGTGCTGAAGGGCTACCTACAGCAGCTGCACTTCAGAAGTTTTAAAAGCTGCTTACACTGAGAAATCAGTTTTTGCCCCACTCATAAAAAATGTAAGAATAGTTATTATGAGAAACATTCATGCACCATGAAACTTGGTACTTACCTGCCATGTCGATAGCAAAGGGCCTGTCAGCTCTCCAGCCAGTGTACCAGCCAACAACTTTGCCGTTTTCCACGACCGGGCGCTCGTACCGTCGTCCTCCTACCAGTCCCACCGGCCATACCGATACCTTGCGGGTTGTACGCATCTGCAAGAGGCAGGCACAGCATGACTGCATGCACGTTTTCCTAGTAGGCTTTTTTTGTAAGTGTTGGTGGAAAGCCTACACATTAATCATCAAGACTAGGTATTTAAAAGCAATTCTAGCTTACAGATTTCAGCCCAACAGAGTAAGTATTTGAAAGCTGCATGTGCCTACTCATTTTCTGTGAAATCTCCAGCTCTCTAGCCCATAGGCACCTCAATTCTACTGAAAATATCCTATTCATATTATTTTTTATAACAAAAATTTTAAAAGCCATGAAAAAAACCAGTATTTGTTTTCTTGTTTGTTTGGGTTTTCAAAAGTGTAGTAGATCTTTTTTATAGCGTTTTTGCAGTAGGCTTATTTCTATAGATTGCTGAGGTATTGTACAAGCCCAGCGAGAGAGAATGTTATAATAATGATTAACAAATACAGCCTTCATTAAGACAAGTACAATTAGTTTGAGACTGGAAACAAATACACTGAGTACAAGAAATTGTGACACACAACACTTCCCCTGCCTGCAACATACCAGGTTTGCACAGTAGATGTAGCTCAGATCTATTAAAGGCTCACAAAAAAAGATTACGTTTAGGCTAAGCCTTTTTAACTTCTACATTTTCTCTTTAAAAGCTCTGCTGAGTTTCTGAGAAAGACAGAAAGCAGGTCGGGCAAGATGCTTCCGCTTGTTTGCTACCAGTAGCGGGAGTTTTTCCCAATGGTGTAAATGTAACTAAATGCAATTCTGGAAAGGTGGTCCTCATCTAACGTAGAGGAATCTATAGATACTAAAAAATTACTCTTTCTTTAGCAAAAAGCGTGCATGACTGGGAGTCAGTGAATTCAGTTCACTGGTTAGTAGACCATTTTCTTCAGTAAACAGGAGATAACTTGACAGGAACACTGACGCGCTGCTCCCCTTGGGAAAAATCTCTGACAGTCTGGCGTGAGAACTTGAGAAGACGAGTGCACAGGCACAGCAGCTTGCACAATTTAACCACATTGATTCAAAAGCCACTGTTTTAACTACTGTGCTTAAATACGGTCCTATTTAAGCAAGTATTAAACTATTTCAGCGTAACATAGGCTTAATCTGATTGATTTTTAAAACAATCTCTTGTCTTCTGTTGTAGCTGAGGCCTATTCCTTAGGGAAAGGTTATCCCTTTCTCCTTCCAAGCACTCCTCTTCGCAAAAACACACACAGTTTTACATATTTGTAACTGCAGTCCCCTATCGATAGATATTGAAGTAAAAGACAACCTTGGTTAAATATTAAACACTTCCCTCTCTTTCTGCCAAGGTGAAAGATTTATCATGCATATCATCTAGACTCCCAGGAGATGCACCAGAAAAAACAAAGACGTCACTCTGGTTCACATTTCTAAGCTAGAAACATTAGCAGATTCTTAGGAGAACTTTCACATAGGGAAGGCATAAAATACATATTTAAAAATCCACAAAAATCCACAAATATATATGTATACACAGAAGAGAGGCATGCAACTTCTTTCCCTCCCATTCTTTGTGTATCTTTAAACTTGTTTAGCACAATTTTCTCACTTCCACCCTAATAACTGTTGAAGCAGGTCAGACCACCTCACTCAGTAGCAGCAGTCCATACTGTATAAGAACAGGGTATGTATACAATTGGCAATATAGGGATTTCTCGTGGTAAGGATTCTATCCAAACCACTGACTATTTAATTGCCAGTGACAGACTGCCATGAATCTCTCTACAGATTATTGTTAAACGTGTTTGTCTGTAACTATTCTCTCTGCTTAAGATTATTTTTCCAATCTCTCCCACTCCTCCATTTAGGAAATGCAGAGTCAGTTAGCAATTAACTATTTGGATATGGAAATCAGTCAAACCTTCTCATGAAGATCTTTTAGCTCTGGGTTTAATGATACATCCGTTTCACAAATTTCTCTAACAGTGTATTTATATTAACATCCAAACACATCAGACATGGACACAGGGCATCATCCTGTTGGGCCTGTCTACACAGGCAAGTTTCCAATAGATTTCCAAGGGCGTGATCAAGCCACATACACCCAACTGCTACACCGGTATTAACCACAGGACGAACACAGATGCCCACTAACTTGTGTTGCCATTAATACCTTCTGGAGGGCATGGATACCTGAACAAATTACTAGTGCACTGATTTACAGCATTTTAACTACCCTGTGCCACTGCCTGTACCCATGGTAAACATAAAATGCCACAAGACAAGGGCAGGCACGCTCTAACCACGAGAGTAGCTAATGCATGGTAAGCCCATACCCTGCCTTTTCTCACAGTAAGCATTTGGGCAGCTGTACTGCAAAATGAACCAGCTCACACGAGACTTCTGAATGGGGTCAATAGCAGCCACAGCATTTATGCTAGCAGAACCAGACTGATTTACATTAATACTTTACCATACTTAATGTGTAGGAAAATCTTGTCAATGAAAAGCATCTCACTGACCTCATGAAACCAGCCTGAAATTAACCAAGAAGTTTTAATTATTACAGTCTTGGCTCCATCTCGGTGTCTGTAAGTTAAGTCAGTAAAGCCACCACACATCAGAAGGAAGTAAGTAACCCTTTACAGAGCTCTTCATTTTGTCCTTGGGTTACTTTCTTTATTCTCACAGGTTACATTTTTGGAGAAAGAAATAAGCAGGTGTCAAGAATACAGCAATCCCATTAAGTAAGAACTGAAAGGGCACATCTAGACTGGTATTTATGCTAATTCTGAAATCCCTTACAGCCTCAGGATATGCTAGGCAGATGAAAGTAGGAATATTTCTTTTAATCTCCTGAGAATAGCATTACCACAGCTAACATACCGATGTGTTAAGGCTGTATTTATATATGATGGAGAGAAAGCTATTATTTAGATTAAAAGGCCAGCTTGCATCTGGAATTTGATGCTGCTAATCACTGGGACACAAAAAGGTGATTCAAAAGCATGTTAATTCTAAATAGCTTTATTGCTATGGGTTAAACAACTGCCAAAATCCTATAACTTACAAACAACTTCCTAAATTACTCTTCTATCTATCATTTTAATGTGCGGTAACACATGCTATCTTAATACTCAGCATTTTAAGTCCTAGTAGCTTACATGAATGGTATTCATCTTACTTACACTTAACTCTCTGCAAGTTAAGCATCTGGTCTATCCTAGTTAGACTTCTATAGTTAATGAACAGAGACAGGAACCTACTGACGTGATTCATCCTGCCTGGCTTAGACAGCTGTCTTAAGGTAGGATGAATGTCCGTCTGGAAATGCTTTTGTCCTCTATTTACTTTTTGATTATTTGAAAGGGGGTCTTGGGCATAGGAGGAGAGTGATGTACTGGATGGGAGAAGATGAGAAAAGGACTCTGTAAGATGGTAGAACAAACCCGAATGAAGCAGGGGGGACACAACTGGGAAGGAGTGGGCAAGGAAATTACAGGAGAGAGGAGTAACAACTGACCAAAGAAATCCCAGTGAGGTGGGCACATAACAGTAAATATCGTAGCAATAGAAGAATAGCAAGTGAAAATGCAGAAAATGTAGCTGAGCAATAAAAGATAGTGATAAAAGCCTTGCCAAAAATAGCATCTTATTAGTCAATCAAGAAAAGCTGCTTAATGGGATGCGCCAGACTGATGGATAGGGAAGATACCAAGCCAATAACAAAATATAAAACCCCAAGGGGAATGGAGGCAAATGACAGACAGAAGGAAACATGGCCATACTTCCTACGGTGAAAAGGCTTCCAGACCGGAACAACCATCTTAGTGTTTTTTGCAGCATGGTGTTGATGCGTTTCTATTTGGGTTTCAAAGCTCTCAGCAAACCTGGCTGCCACACACAGTAAGCTTTTTTCCTCCCCCTGTTCTCTATCACTTCAACCTCTGTGTAATTTGTGGTCTGTACTGGTCAGGCCACAGGTTATCATCCAGGCTTGCTGCCCCCCAACCCAGCAAGACTCAAAGAAATTTCTATGCAAAATTCCTATTTATTATTACCATGGACGGGATCCAGAGCTCCTTCACTACGACTCTTCCCCAGGAGAAAATGTTACAGGTTAAAGCACGAGCACAGCCAGTTCCCTATCAGTTCTCACACAGGCATTCTGCATTACTCACAGGTCATTTAAAGCCAAATTCTGCTTCAACAAAACTTACGTGACTGCACTACAAGTCAGAGGGATAGCTCAGCTGCAGCGATGCTATGCCTGTTTACTTAGGCATTAAATGGAGCTTCTGCCCCTACTTACCATTACTTCAAAGGAGGTACTGAGTCATAGAAAATCTGTGCCAGTGGTTTTTGTGGTTCAGGGACTGTGACGCTTAGGGAATAGTAACTTCAAAAAGCAAGTTTGTTGTCGGTAAACTTGACTGTAAGGGGTATGTCTCCATGGGAAAACTTGTAGAAAGGGTCTACAAATAAAAAAAAAATTGTCAATCATTGATCTAGCCTGCTCCACAACCCTCACAGGTGATCTGATTTAGTGCTTCACCACCCTCGCTATTAGAAAGCTTTTTTCCAAATATCTGCCTTAAACCTCCTCTGCTGATTCATACCCAATCCACACTGCAGAGGGAGGATAGATTAATCCCCCTTCTCTCAAGCAACATTTTACATATCAGATAAAATGATTAATGCTTCTAAGTTATACCAGCATCCTTAGGCACAAATGTCAATATCGCTTCCCTACAGGAGAAAACTGTACTAAATTTAACTAAAGCAGTTAGAAGCCAATCTCTCTGCATTGGGAAGACTTCCAAAACATTTGCTATTCATGTTTCCTTTTGGCCCTTCTACTCACTAATTCTTTTTCTCATCCTACTTTCTGTTATTCTACTAGGTTGTGTTCACTGTACCTCTGAAGAGCTGCTGACCACTTCTAATTAATGTCATAGTAACAGTATCAGTTTCACAAGCAAGAAAAAGACTGCTGTCAAAAGTGCAGAAACAGACAGTGCTTGGTACTTTGTAACCCAGAGTCCCTCACTTGGATAAA